AAAGCAGCTGAAAGACCTATCTGACACTGAGGGACAATCTTTAGGTTAAACCAAAACTTCATAAAGTGTGCAAGACAAGCTCCACACCCTAGAAGGAAACGAGTCTGCCCTGTTAAGAGTCTGTTTTAGAGAAATGGTATCTTTTTTCAGGGTCTACAGGTATTCACAGGGCTCAGACAGGACAGAGGAGTTTTATATTAAAATCTGTCCCAGACCTATGATAGCTCAGATGAGTCAGTAGAACAACATTTCATTGAAAGACAAGCTGGAAAGCTTTTATTTTTGGAAGACTTACCCTTCATCTGACTTAGAACTGCCTTTTATTATTTAGGCTCATACAATCAGCAAGATCTCCTAGAGAGCATTTTCTGACAGGCTGACAGGAATTTATCTGGGCCACAATCTAGAAGATATTTTCTGTAGCATTTTATTATGGGAGATCCCACATCCACAAATTGTTACTTCTTTGAGGCAGATTTCTTTAAGAGGCAGAATTTGACCAAGTGCATTCATATCTTTTGCCACCCCCTCCTTCTTTGCTTTCTTCAGCCTCTAGTAATCCCCTGGAGAATATGGGATACACCTGAACCTCTCCAAGACAAAACTTCAAAAAGAGGAGCTGAAAATGCTACTCATCACCTAGAGATGTGAGAAAAAACAACCCAACATTTAAATATAATCACACTGAATCAATCCAATCTGCATTACTTCTTTGGGAAGTATTTTTAATAGCAGTGTTTGGGTCAAAAAAAAAAAAAATAGCAAAGCTGTGATAGCACAAAACAACACCTGTTCCTGGGAGAATAAATTACAAAGAAATAATTTGACCTGCACCAAAATATTCATGTTTTATTGCCAAATCAAAGGGCCTAGCTTCCTACTGAAATAAGAATCCAGCTAACTGACCTGCTGGTTGTTAAGGTTCATGTAAAAACAGACCATGGATGAACACGTACACACATCCACTCGCTATTTAGTAAGAGTGCTACTGAGCTATGACCAGTGTCAGTTAAATGCAGATTTTGCAAGGAGGGACAGCTTAAGCACTGCAAGCTCCTTTTAGAGAGTTGAGGCATAGAAGCTTGCTTTCTTCAAATTTCCAGTGGTCACTGTAGATAGACAGTGGGTATGTTCAAGAAGTAATAGAGCATCTAAAGTTCAACAAAGTATAATTCATGTCTAAATAATATAGTACCTAGAGGAAGGAACAGAGATTCTATAAATGCTACTTGGACAAGGTCAGAGAAAAATACTGCCAGTGACTCAACTTTTTCCAAAGAAAAATCTATCACTCTGCTTGGACACAATTAGCCAGCATTTACTTAATTTACTTTAGGATTCTCTTGTTCTGCTACTGTTCTAACACTGTATTTGGAGGTGAGGAGAAACAAACACAGAAGGCATGACTATTCAGAATGAGCGTTGAGGCCACTCTTCTAAACCTATGATGGAAGGAGGAGAGCATGAGGAAAGGAATCTAACACACATGAGCTAGAGGAAACAGATTCAAAGGAAAATTAGGGTAGAATAGAGAAGCAGAGTGAAGAGACAGTAAAACAGCAGAAAAGGTAACAGAAAAGTACACAGACTTTCGACAGCAAGGTCTGTTCCAGTTAATGGAACAAACATCCACAAATCTCCTACTGAAGCCATCATGGATAAACAGATGTTTCTCATCCTCTCAAATTCAGACATAAAAAAACTGCTGTTCATCCAGAGATTTTTTAAGCAAGGATCTATTTTTTTCCATCTGTGATGGCGTAAGGTAGTTTACCGAGCAGTGTACAACTTTTAGATAAAATGGAGAGAAAGAAACATACCTGCCGATGAATAATCTCTAGGTTTGCTTTGGCTTTATTCACTAGTTCTTCTATTTTTTCAGAATCCGTTATATTCTTGTTTTCTCTGAAGGCATCTCTTATCCTTCTGATGGCATACGTTCTAAACACAAACAGTAAGAAGACATGTATTCATAGACATGCTACAGTTTCTGACATTTCAACATGCTGAATTTTTCTTTTTTACAAATATACATGCACACACATACATTTTGCCCAGTTTATATAGATGCCTTTTATTCGGGGTCTTGCCCTATTTGAAACAGGGACTAGAATCTTTAATTTAAAAAGTCATTTTACTAGACATTATTGCAGAAAAATGTCCTATTTCACATGAGTCCAGTCCTTACTGCTTGTTATTGCTGTAAACATACTGTTGGCCTGGATACTGCAAAGCTCAAGAAGATAAAAAACCAAAGAACCAAAAAATCACCCACCAAATGCTTTCTGAATCAGTGTGACTATTCTTATTCTGGATACTCTAAAGGTCATTGGTCACTAAATACATTTTTTGTTATTAGTAGTTCTGACTTTGTAATCTGGCAGTCAAAGATAGACTGATGGACCAACCACACCAAAAAGGGCTTCTTCTCCATTACCCCTTTCCTCTCCTGACAAAGCATATTTCACCTCCCAGTCCAACACCGCCTCCTTAATTTCCCCACCAAGAGGCAATAACAGAACACAATCTCTGCAAGCAGGAAGAAAGGAAGGCCCAAAGCTACAGTCATCTCCCCTTTCTTTTAAGGCCAATAAAGAACATCAATGCAGTCTGCAGTGTTTACTGCACAATAAAAAAAATAGGGCCCATTTCAATATTAAAATAAAATTTTCAGACTGAGCAGTAGATACTTTCATTGCACATGTGCTTAGGGAGGGGAAGGAGAAACAGCAGTAGCGTGATCCTGCTCAGCTATCTTGATAACGCCCCACCTCTGTACCACCACATCACATCAGTATCAGTTTTACTAAAGAAAGTAAAACCCTATGCGTGGTGTTGGAAGGAAGAAAAAGGGCTGCTGCAAACACCACAGATAGCATAATACTTCAACAGCCGTTTTCAGTCTTGTACAAAGGTGAAACACAAGACACAAAACTGTCTGAAACACAATCATAAAACACCCCAAAGAATGTTGAAAAATAAAAATATTGGGGGAGGGGATGAGGGAGGGGAGAGGAAGAAGAGGAAAGACAAATAACCAGCAGCACTCCGTGCCATTAGATGGTGCTATCCAGCTCCTAATGCAGTCTCCACCAGCCAAGCAGCATATTTTCTCTTTGAGCTCATAAATAATACATTTCAATCACAGGAATCAAGATGGTTATGGAGTGCTACCCTGCTGCCACACACCGGCAGATGGTGCATGCTTTTAATTAGGGCCTGTTCACCTCTAATGTGACACTGGGGTGTGTGAGTGCGTGTGTGTTTGTATGTGTGAAGTTAATAGAATGTATTAAATATGGAAGCTCATTCTCATGTGCAGCTGCTGTCCTAGCAAGATGTGAAGGGGAAGCTGCTTATTTCCTCTAGAAAAGAAACAACCCCAAATCATTAAGATGTAGTATAATTTTGTTGCTTGATAATGGATGGATTTCAGATCACCCCATATACATATGTAGGGTTAAACTGTGCAGAAACATCATATTTTCTGCAATAAAGGAAGGGTTTCCAAAAGATGCAAAGACCTTTTATACATACCTGTGTGTGTGTGTATATATATATATATACACAAATATATATATATGTGTATATATATATATCTTAAAAGAAAAAACAAACAGCAAGTATCCATTACGGGGTACAAGTCTTTCAAAATGCAATACAAATGAGTACAGGCTAGCTACATTAAAAATATAGATGAGACTAAAACAAATTCTTGCTCAGTATAACACCTATGGATTGGGGTTTTTTTTGTTTGTTTCGTAGATATGGTGCCTTAACCATTCCATTTTCTCCCTATTCCTCTTATTATATCCAGCAGTTGTTGAGAAAGAAAAGATGTACTTAGAAAAAACACCATCAGACTAGTTTTTATCTATAGTCAGAAAGTTACATTATTTTTTCCTTTTACAATTTCTTTAAATCTTTATGAACGTTATCACCCAAAGGAAGTTATTTTACATAGGCTTTAACACAATCTTAATTCTATAGCTACATCAGTACATCTCCAGTATTCTCTAATAACACTTCAAAGACTAGCTCTATATCCTGTTATTACACTTTACTCAGGTTACATTGAGATTCAATATATCACTTAAAATAAGGATAAGCTGAACCCAATACTATTAATGACTGTGAAACAACCTTTTTTTCCTCATTGAGAAGTGCCAGGAGAACATTTTGCCAACACTCAAATTTTTTCAAAATTATATAAAAAGTGTTAAATCAAGATATAAACAAACTGGCAGGTTTGGGGGTTTTTTTTGTTCATTTGTTTGTTTTTAAACATCAGCTTTTTACATGTGACAACAGTTGTGAACAACATCAATTCCAAACCTCAATACTCTCTACACTTCAAGAGTTTCTGAACCGAGTATTTACTAAAAGCTAGTACTGACATTAGGGCTGCGATATTGCTGCAAGTCCATTAACAACCAAGCTCTTTCAAAAGTACAGTAACATAGGCAGCAACATGTACTAAAGATACATATGCTATGAAAATAACTCGTTCATTCAGACATACATCTGGGGTTGTTTATTTTTTTCTTTTTTTTTTTTTTAAAGAGCATTACTCCAAAGATGATCTGGTTGACGAACAGATTCATCAGCTGATCAGCTACTCTAATGGTGTGTATTTTCAGTTCAATAAGCATAAATGCCAAAACCAATCAGGTACCATTTGAAGGCAGGACTCAGAATGTCAGGAGCAGAATTTATATGGCTATCTTCATAGAATAGAATCATAGAATGGTTTGGGTTGGAAGGGACCTTAAAGATCACCTAGTTCCAACCCCCCTCCCAGGAGCGGGGACCCCTTCCACTAGACCAGGTTGCTCAAAGCCTCATCCAGCCTGGCCTTGAACACTTCCAGGGAGGGGGCATCCACAGCTTCTCTGGGCAACCTGGGCCAGTGTCTCACCACCCTCACAGTGAAGAACTTCTTCCTAATATCTAGTCTAAACCTCCCCTCTTTCAGTTTAAAGCCATTTCCCCTTGTTCTATCACTACCTGCCCTTAATGAAAAGTCCCTCCTCAGCTTTCTTGCAGGCCCACTTCAGGTACTGGAAGGCCACTATAAGATCTCCCCAGAGCCTTCTCTTCTCCAGGCTGAACAGCCCCAACTCTTTCAGCCTGTCCCCACAGGGGAGGTGTTCCAGCCCTCGGATTGCCCTTGTGGCCTCCTCTGGACTTGTTCCAACTGCTCCAGGTCTCTCTTGTGTTGGGGGCTCCAGAACTGGATGCAGTACTCCAGGTGGGGCCTTACAAGAGCAGAGCAGAGGGGCAGAATCCCCTCCCTCGACCTGCTGGACACGCTTCTCTTGATGCAGCCCAGGACACGGTCATTGGGCTTCTGGGCTGCAAGGGCACATTGTCTGCTCGTGTTCAGCTCCTCATTCACCACCACTCCCAAGTCCTCTTCAGAGCTGAAGTTTCATAAAACTTTACAACATTAACCAAGAAGAACCACTGCCTGAAGACAGACTGGCAGATGAAAAGCCTACCTGCAAGTGACATGGTTGTTGTATCTTATGGATGATTATTTATGCAAGCTGGCACAAATGAACTGAGGGCATACAGCACTGCAGCAAGTTTAAACCAACGTGAGTAAAGGGGAGCTGCTGTAATTTTGCCATCCTCCCTGGTAGGCACAAACCTTCCCTCTGCTTCCTTCAGACCAGCACAACCAGTCTGATATTTGGCCCTAAGGTGAGCCAGTCCAACTTGGTAGCCTGACAGAAGGCAAACCAACCAAAAGAATCAACTTTTGTTGGGGTTTTTTTTTTTAAATTTTATTTTATTAGCAAGCTCCATCTGTTCTACATGGGGCAAGATGAGCATTAGTGCTGAGGAGGAGAGAACACAGCAGTACTGATTTAGATGGGTACAGTTTGCAATAGATTCCACTCAAAGAGGCAGAGCAAGTTGCATAAACAAAGGGAACTCTTCAGTGAGAAGCCACCAAGCAAGATCTCCAGAGAAACAGAATGGGAAAGCAATTCTGCATGCAGGACACTGAAACAGCTCCTACTGACCTTTGGGAAAGGTCCTAGGAATGTAACAGTGTTCATTAAGAAACATCACTGCAAATGAAAACTCAAACTGCATTTCACAATCCCCTATTTTTCTCACCATTCATTGGAAACAGATACTGAAAAATGGCTGAAAGATGCAACAAGGCATTTTCTTCTCTTTCTGTCATCCAAGTGCACTGAAATTTTAATAGAGAACACCTTTGATTTTATCTCTGCAAAGACCTTCTAGCGAGCTAGTGACAGCAGGACCCAAGCAAGACTGTACAGCTCAATATATTCACTCAGCACTCTCTTAACATGCACTCAAAACACTTTTTGTGATCCCTACTTAGGTGCATCTGTCACACAATTAACTCCCAATTAAATAAAAAATATGTATTCCATGGGTAATAGATTCAGTGCGATGGTGTCAGACTCAGGCCAAAGCCACCGCAGGTGGATAGCTACGCAAGGTAACAGATGCACATCAGCAGAAAACATAAAGAGTGACTGGGGGTTAACGTGAGAGCAGTGCCAGGGCCAAAACACTACTACAGACTCACAGGGAATGGGCACTCCCTGCTAATGTTAAAAGACAACACCCTCAAATAACAGTAAAAACCACAGAGGTACAGTTAGAAAATGGTCTTTTTCTTAATACTCATTCACCTCTACCTTCAAAGAGTTCATCTTTTTCCCCTCCCTGAAGCACAATCAAAATCATGTGTCCTTATAAAAATAAAGCCTACAAGAAGTGAAGTCTGAAACAACAGCTATTAAGGAAAAATTAAATTGCAACATAGTTATTTCAGAAAATAACAGCTGCTTGGGGATTTAGGTATTTTTTTTTAAAATATTTACTTTATTTACTTGCTTCACACCTGACCAGAAAATAAAAAAATCCATTTCCTTTTCATGTCTTTACTCTTG